TACATCAAGCCATATTAAGTGTTTATGTTTTTCTACAGGAGGAAAACGCTTAGCGAGAGACTGCATTGCGTTCATATTCTGCTGTTCTGTGGCCACGGATTTGCGGGTCTTGTCTTTTTCTTGCAGGACCCTGTACGTTATTGTACTAAATTAGTTTTAATCATTAAATCACCACCACAGCATCTTGTCTCCATTGGCAACACGCACGATTTGTGTCGATTGCAAGTGACGTCGCAGGTAGCGGAGAGTGCAAGTGACATTGTAATTTAGTTTCTTTTTTTTTTTCTTGTCTTCACCACCTGGCTACTGTTGTAAAATGTTGAGAGATTCAAACAAACAAAAAAAAAAATCAATAAATAGAACAAAATAAAAAATAAAGACTGCAAGTGACGTCACTTGCGGAAGTGCAAGTGTCTGAGAGTGCAAGTCTGACAGTGCAAGTGCAAGTCTGCAGACAGACCCTTCTCAAATTTTTCGAAATATAGAGATACAACTATTTGAAAATCTGGAATCTGAGGGTGCAAAAAAATAAATGAATAAATGTCCAAATGAAGTTCTTAGCTATGCATATTACTAATCAAAAATTAAGTTTTAATATATTTACAGTAGGAAATTGACAAAATATCTTCATGGAACATGATCTTTACTTAATATCCTAATGATTTTTGGCATAAAAGAAAAATCTATAATTTTGACCCATACAATGTATTTTTGGCTATTGATACAAATATACCCCAGCGAATTAAGACTGGTTTTGTGGTCCAGGGTCACATATGACAAATGCCATGTAAATAACACATTCCGACATTGTCAAAATAGAAGTTGGAAATTAATATATATGGGTTTATTTATTTACATTATATGCAATTTATTATAGATAATATAAATCTCGTGTAGATTATTAACATTTGAAATATAATGACCCTTCCCAAAAAACGGATGGTAACCTACACATTTACAAGCCAACAACACACACTGAAATGCATTACCTGTGCATGAGCAGATGTCCATCATTACAGTCAATGTCTGTCCACATGCTTCTGTTGGCTGGGTGTAACAGTCCACACACATCTATAATTCTGTAGGGCAAAGACAACATTTCTAAATAGCAGTTAATAATTAAATTGAACACATTTTCAGAGACTTACAGATGAGTCACACTTTTTACTTGAATATCATCATCAAGCATGTCTACGCTTTATTTTTTCAGTGACAATCGATTCCTGCACTTTATCACAGTGTGTGTCGGTTTTATTTGTTTTATGGGCTGGAATATGTGCTGTTGAGTGACTGCAGGATTTGTACTTCAGAAAGTCTGCACGTGTCATGACATCGGTCATGATGAAGCATCATGTTGTCAAGGATCTGAAGGTGTCAGACTGAACCTGATGCTCGATTACCCCACCTAGTGGAGCGGATGGAAAAATGCACTTCAGTTTTAATTCAAATTTTAGTGTCAAGTGTCACACATACTTTAACATTTTCATACCATTAAATGTATATATATATTTTTATTTTTCAATTAAATGTCTATAAGTCAAATGACAAACAGCTGATCATCAGCTCCCTCTTGTGGCCAATGTGTTTCAAGAGTTTCATGAAATGGCAAACTCATGTTGACCGGTTGTAGGTGAGATGGCTGAGATTTAAATTTCATGTATTTTACAACAAATCTATATTTTTGTCAGGGTCTCAGCCAACAGAGCAACATGGTTCTAGTATAATTTCCGTAAATTATCCAGATCTGCTCTTAACTGATAAAGATAAAATATGTTGAACTCAATGGCAAATTCACAGTGTGAACATAAGACACAGAACAAAAGATCTTACAAGATGCTTCCAGTAGGTCTCTGATTTAAGTAGATGTTTATTTATTTACAAATTTTTCAATCATGTTTGTTGACAATTTGGTTATTTGTATTCATTTTTTTTTTTTTATATATATATATATATTAATGACAGGCACTTGGTTTAAACCAGAACAGTGTCAATGTTCTCCGCAGCCGGTACTCTTACTTTCATTAACTCATGGAGTGGAGTGTGTTAATAATGAGAGCAGCAAATAAAACGTGTGAGAATGGTGCCCCTAGGAGGAGTTGTTCTTGAGGCAGATCACCTGCAAGGAAGTCAGCTAACGGGGATGACGTGTGGATGGACGCGTAACGTATGACGTGCTTCCAGCGTGTTGCTTCTGGACACAGTCCAGTAAGTTGGGAGAAATGGCATTTTGTACCTGCATGTCCAAGCGTCACCCAAGCCTACTCTGGTCTAAGCGTATTGGCACAGCTGATTCGGACACATTCTGGTCAGTTAGACGCCTCTTCGTTCCCAAAGCACTCAAACCTGGTCAGTGACAGATATGGCCACATATACATCAAAAAGTAGCCTATTTGGTTACAAATTACAAATACTTGCTCATCAAATGTATTTAATTCAAATACTGTTGTGAGAAATGTATTTAATTAAAATGAGTAATTTGTAATTTGAAGATACAAAAATATTTACAAGCAATCATGTGAAGTGCAAGAGACAGCGCCATTCCATTTAGTAATACTGGAGTTAGACACACATATGAGAAGAGAAGTGCTTACCCATCCTTGAACAACTTCTTAACAACATTCTTTAACCCTAACACTAAACAATATATTGATCCCTATTTCTTCTAATTTCTTATGTTCACTTTTTTACTTGAATATCATCATCAAGCATGTCTACGCTTTATTTTTTCAGGTTTCTTTATCGCTTCTTTAGCAGCATGTCAAAAATGAAGCAGTCCTGTGAAACTATTGTCATACCACCATGTCGGCAGATGAGGTTCATTAGAATTACACTGTTATGATAGTTTCCCATGAATTTTCCCAGCGAAACTGCCCTGAATCCTTCACATAAAAATTAGTCTACAGGCTCTCGTTTTTTACGTTTCGTTACATGCTGTTCACACATTGGCAATAAAATTCTTTCATAAAGCCCCTTTAAAATTTTAATTTTGTCCACAGAAACAAGTAGGTAAATTTAGCTAGCAAGCAAAGTTGTAGAGCAGTACAGCTTTTTCTTCTGTGAGCAATATCTGATTGTATATATTTTAGTACATACTTAGGCAGTTTGCACTGAACACCAAAACAGCTTCTTTCATTGTTGTTTTTTTTTTCTCCAGTTGGAAGATGGAACCATGGACGAATTAAAGGGATAGTTCACCAAAAAATTTAAATATTCATACCATTAAATGTCATTCCATAATAATGGAAGCATATGGGTAGCAATATTCATTTTGAAATGTAATATGTATTTCTGTATTTAACTTTACATATTCCCATACATAATGTGCAACATGAAAATAAAAATTCCATCATTTACATTTGCCATTTCCTACACTAGTTTTAATATGTAAATTAAATACATATTTTATCGCTTTATAAGTTGCAAAATTAAAATTAAAATGTATTCCCCAAATTTATTAGACATGTTTAACATGTCAAACGTATCAGCAAAATGAACATTTAAATGCTGTTTTTCCTAAATGCATTTAGACTTACGGGTAGGAAACTTGGGATTGCATTTTCATCATAATACTAACAAAATAATAATTGTATTAATAATAATTAATAATTGATAATTGTAACAAAATGCAGTGAGAATTTCAAAATGCATTCTGAACCAACGGTATAGCAAAAGGGTAGCAAAATGGTGATTTAAATGTCTTATTTTTCTTAAATGCATGACACTTACACTTAAAGGGGTCATATGATGCGATTTCAAGTGTACAGTATTTGAAAAATAATGTGTTTTTTGAACATTAAAGCATGTCAACATATTCTGTTACACCAAATATACAAAATAATGATCTTTAAAATAGCATCATATGACCCCTTTAAGACGTTTAAATTCCGAGCCGATCACGCCCCCAACCTGTCAATCATTACATCAAGGCGGGGCTCAGCAACAGGATGCAGGATAGGTCAATATTCACCATTAACCAAACGCTTTTCACCTGCCTCAACATTGCTCAGTTTGCGCACAACTCCACAGGCTCTCTGGCTCAGGAGGTAAAGCATTGTGTTTTAAACGTGGAGACCTGAGTTCTAATCCCACAACTACTGAAAAGTTGAATCCAATAAAACAAAGCTCTCAATAGAATCCCATCCTAGACACCTGACAAATCCACAGAATCAGTAGCGCATAAGATACATCTTTGCATTTTAATCTTAATGGATACTGGTCAAAACAGTGTCATATTTTGATTATTTAAGCTGTAAAAGTTAAAATCATGTTTTAACTCAACACAAAAAACAATAATCCTATAAAGGCAGGTGTCATGGACATGGATTATGTTTTGTCTTGGACTATATATATAATGGTTATCTTTACAAGCAGCACAAGGGACACTGCAACTCTACAAACTATGATTTTACAGACGGAACACATGGACAAGTGTGGACACACGTCATCAGCATCAGCTATCCATGATGTGAATATCTCACATATATCATAAAACTAAAATCTGCAAAACGCATACCTAATTGTGAAGTATTTTTAATGGAAATGGAGTCACTGAGAAAATCTTTAATGGTAGCCAGTAACTAAAAGAATGATACATTGTTAAATGTTATGGAGAAATTCTTTGCATAGTAACGCCTCTCCACACATCACCAAACACTTTGGAATCTGTCTTTAGAAAAAAATAAAACAAAATATCTGATTACTGTTGATTTTTTCCCCCCCTTTTCTAGCATTTCTCTGTTTTATTTATCTATTTGTTTATTTTCTTCTGTAGACTACCTGGTATATTATTGTCTCTCTTTTGAATGATCCCTTTCTGTATGTGTGGTGTAATATGTTGTAACACGTATTTGTTCCATTAACAATAATAATAATATGATGATGATATTGATGAGAATATCTGAACAGCGCAACAACGATTCTTCTGAAGGTCCGACAGGGAGTTCAGCAAGGCAGCAGCATATACACAAACTCTGATAAACCTTTGCAGAAGACCCCGTCAAAAAAATAAAGTTATAGACTAGTCCATGTGCGTTCATTTTGAAGTGTCCGCGCACAGATGATGCAACACAACGCACTGTATTAGTAGTAGACTTACTTACAGGTGAGTCGAGTGACACTCGATTCCTTCACTTCATCGCAGTTTGTGTCGGTTTTATTTGTTTATGGGCTGGAATATGTGCTCAGCTGTTGATTCTGGCATCTGCAGGATATGTAGGCTAATGAAAACAGTCTACACGTGTTGTTGCAAGCATCCGAAGACATCAGACTGAACCTGGAAATCGCTTTCGCCGCCTAGTGGAGCGGATGGAAACCTGCTTATCAATTTCTGCAATACGAGTCGGATTTTAAAGGGGTCATATGATGCGATTTCAAGTTTTCCTTTCTCTTTTTGAACATTAAAGCATGTCAACATATTCTGTTACACCAAATACACAAAATAATGATCTTTAAAAAAGCATCATATGACCCCTTTAACCAAATGAGTTTCACGTTGAGTCATCGACTACATTCCAAAATGACTATTTAAAGACTGTTTATTTTGTTTAATGTGTTTATACCAATGTACTCCCCCACTCGGTTAAATTTTTTATTTTATACATTTTTTTACTTATTTCTCTCTCCTTTCAAACCACAGCTGAGGGGGGATGAACTCTGAACTCTGGTCTCCTGCATCAGGTTTAGCTTTGACACCAAGAGCTCTGGCCACTGGACCATCAGCATCTCACACAAAGAGCATTTCTTTTGTAGCATTAACTCACACATATAAACAAAACACATGCAGAGTGTGAATGTATGCATGTGCATTTATTTCGTTAATCAAATTTAAGTCCTATACAATCAGTGCATTTTGATATAGCTATGAATCTATCTTTAGAATTTTGTTGCCCTATATTTTGTCCTGTTTAGTCTATTAACAAACATGAATCCAGTAGATTATTTCTAACAGTGTCACGACAACATCAGCAGAGAAAAACACTGCTTATTATTCTACTTTATAAGATTTCTAGGAATTGCTTCCTTAGATCCATATTCCAAGAACAGGCAATTATACAGAAAATGCTACACTTTAAGTGTCAGTCGTTCGTGAGACGACACAAATTTCCTATACACTTTGGTTTCATACTTCAGTATAAAAAAAGTGTTATTTTTTGTTATAATATATTTTAATTATTTTTATGTTATCATAATAATATTATGATTTTTGTCATCATCATAATCATTATGTTTATCACAATAAACTAAAAAAATATGAATAACCTTAAACTTGAGACCAAATGAAAGATTCGGGTGTCTCATCTTTTGTCATCCCTAATGAGATTGTATCTCTGATATATTTTAAAACAAATCTATGATTTTGTCAGAATCTCAACAAGCAGGAAAACATTGAATCTAGCAGTTAATTGAGGAATTTTCATCTCTCAACTGAAGGGGTAAGGAAGACAAAATGGGTGATGTGTTGAACTGAAAGTCACAAATGGGCGACATGCAAATAAATAAAACATGAAAGAAAGGTTTTTCATAAGACTGTTTGTTGTAATGCTTCCTTTTAATTTAAAGTGATCTTTATTGCTGTTGTTCACAATTAAAGTGTTTTCATATTGTTGTGACTGTGTTTTCACTGGTCACAGGTGCATCTCAATAAATTAGAATGTCGTGGAAAAGTTAATTTATTTCAGTAATTTAACTCAAATTGTGAAACTCGTGTATTAAATAAATTCAATGCACACAGACTGAAGTAGTTTAAGTCTTTGGTTCTTTTAATTGTGATGATTTTGGCTCACATTTATCAAAAACCCACCAATTCACTATCTCAACAAATTAGAATATGGTGACATGCCAATCAGCTAATCAACTCAAAACACCTGCAAAGGTTTCCTGAGCCTTCAAAATGGTCTCTCAGTTTGGCTCACTAGGCTACACAATCATGGGGAAGACTGCTGATCTGACAGTTGTCCAGAAGACAATCATTGACACCCTTCACAAGGAGGGTAAGCCACAAACATTCATTGCCAAAGAAGCTGGCTGTTCACAGAGTGCTGTATCCAAGCATGTTAACAGAAAGTTGAGTGGAAGGAAAAAGTGTGGAAGAAAAAGATGC